GGGGTCAGGAGAGGTCTGCCGCGCCATGTGGTCACCTCCGGGGCAGGCAGGGATCGAACTCATGTGGAAGTGGCTTTTAGCTTCTTAGTGCTGTGTTTTAACCCACTGTGCCACCAGGGAGGACCCCCCCAACACATATTCTTATAGTGAAAACAGAAAAATATTTATGTATTAGATGCTATAACTTTGTAAAAAAAATACATTCTAAGATTAGAATGAGGCAACATGTTAACAGGTTTGACTAGTATGAAAATGATCTCTCCTTGTCTTTACTACTCATTAGTAAATTTTCTAAACTTTTCAGATAGTTTCCACCTGGTTTTGCTTTTATAAAGCATTATTTTTATATAGGAAAAAGCACCCTGCCATTTAAAAAAGTTAATTTTTTGTTATAAATACTCACATTCTCAGGTATGCTAGGAAGTTCTCTGGTGTCAGGCACAGTAAAATAAGAATGCTGGAAAAGAAAAGAAAAAGTGATTTATTTTTGTGAAAGTGAGCAACAGGCACATCATTCAGAAATTAACTAAATGATCTGAAGATGTTTCCTTATTCAGATAAGGAAACAGTTTTTATTTAGAAACATCTATGAAATATTTTCTTTGTACAAATTTGGGTTAAAGCCAGATACTGTTCTTTCCTACAAGGGGTGAACTTCCTTGGGAGTGTCAGTGAAAAGTTCCAAGAGAGGAAAGGCTGAATTCCCAAACGAGGCTTGCAGGTTCATGAGCACACTAAAGCTGCGAGCTTCCTGATGTATTGTTCAATGAGCCAAGTAGGCTCGCGGGACCAGGTATCACTAGGTTCACTCAGCAGTGGTCTTCATGTCAGCATCTGAGTGGCAAGCCTGTCACTTCATTTCAGTACCTGAAACTATACCCATCTATAGGCTATGGGCAAAATCCAGCCTGAAGGCCAGGGCAGCCGGGCCAGAGGACTGCAGCACTGAGACCATCACAGAGGCTAACAGTGGGGAATTCTGTCTACTCCACATACCCTGACTTCCAATAAATAAGCCTCCTGACTTCCAGTGCAGACCCTAGGGAAGGGAGCAGGAGACTCAGTGGAGCCGAAAAATTGACCTGTTCAGAGAACTTTCAATGAGGCATCTCCATGTCCATAACAAGCATGGGTCCTTGTTAAATGACAACAGGCTGAACTGATGACACCTCCTCTGTGCTACTAAAGGCTCAGAGGACAATGGCCACAGGAATGGAGAGAGCGGGTGCTGGCCAATTAAAGAGCAGATTGTACAAAGGCCAGGAAAGGTCACATGCAGAGAAGGTCGGCTTAGCCATGGCCTCCGTTCAAACCTGGACCCCCAAGAGACATTTCAGGAAGTCTTCCCACCCCCTCCATTCTTGGATAATCGCGATTAAGTGGGTCTTGAGAAGAATGAATTCTATAGGCTCCTTGAAATGAAAGGCCCAGGGGACAATTGCAGTAATGACAATGATGACAATAATAGTATGAGTGACTTGTCTAATGTTCAACAGATATTTCTTAAATACCTGCTACATGGGAAGATTTTATGCTAGGTACTTCATAAATCCAATTGCCGTAACAAACCTAAAGACAGGTATTCTCTCATATTACAAATGGGCAAATTAAGTAACTTGTTATAGTCACATAGCTGGCTGATGGCAGAATCAGGGTTGAAGCAGGGTCCATATGACTAAAGCCTCTTTCCATAACAGATCTATGCTTTTTATATGTAAATTACAGCTAAAACCACTGAAAATAATAACTAAAAAGTAAAACACAGAAAAAGTTACAAAAAGGTAACACACTGAGATACATTATTCCAAAACCTATGTTTCTATGCCAAAATATTACCTTTAGAATATCGCAGACACCATGCACCATGGAAACTAGCTTATGATTTTCAACAATGAGTATTAAAATAGTAAAGATAGGATACAAGGTTATGTTTGACACCATAAAACGGCCAACTTCTATACTAAATGGCTAGAAGGGAGTCTCAGGAAATGCTGAGCAACAGAGGTCCACTGGTGAAAGTCTCACATTGGCACAGAGAGGGAAAGCGAACAAGGAACACTGAAGCGGCCATTTAGTAGCTCATGTGACCTCAGAATACCTGCCTTCTCGCCAAAACCTCTACTTTGAACCTACAGGCAGAAATCACACTTCTGGACATGTGAAGTGCCCAGAAGTCCGTAAATGCTAGTTTAACATAAGATAATTATTGCTCAATCACCTACAGTCAGGCAGGAGAATATCCTCCTGTGATTAAAGACAGAGTTCAGGGCTATCATTTTATCAACATTTCAGGTACTAAAATCTACATGAGACTAGTCCTTTAGAATCAGAAATGTGGAGGAGGCACTCCTAGTTAAGAGGAAAGAAAGTATCTGCCTTCACAGAGGCAACGGATTGTAAAACAGGGAGCCACACAATTCCCAAACCCAGTAGCCCCAGGCTGTCCTTTGAGATTCTGTCTTGCTCCATTGCCCATGAAATGCTGGGACCAGAGGGCGTCGGAAACATTCCCAGTAACCAATGGCATGAAACAGTCCCCCACCCCCAAATGGCTCCTCTGGCCCCTGCCATGGCTTGTCCTTGAGGCCTGGCAGGCACTCAGGGGCAGGAGTGGCCCTTCTTCCCCAGCAGCTGGTGACCCAGGCGGGCTATACCACAGCTACCTGTCGGATGTCATTACGGGCTGAAGCCGAGAGATCAAGCTGCTTAGAAAAGGACAAAGGGGTTGCTGAGCTCCCGGGCGCTGACTAGAGCAGGTCTGAGCTCAGTCAGCCATTTGAGGCCCATTTTTCTTGGCATCCCAGAAAAATGGGAAGTTTAACTCCCCTGCCTTAAGCCCGGAGGTGTCCGAGTGTGAGGGGTTGTGGTGGGGAAGATGCAGATGACAAAAACCATCTGCCGGCTCGCTACTGTGGTTTCTCAGAGCTGGCTGGCCTTCTCCCCACTTACCACGCTGAGATGAACAGACACTCCCGGGTCAGGGATGGGAAGTTTGTGCAGCGTGTCAAGAAGTTCATTCCACTGACTTTCCTGAAAGAAAGAAAAGTCCTCAGTGACGTAAGGCTGAGCCCTGTGCCAGAGACCTGCAGAGGGGTCTGGGCACACATTAAGCTGGGGCCCTCATGGCTGAGGGGGCTGGGGAGGTGCTGGCCCCAGGACAGAAATAGCTTGATAGTCAAGGAGGGTTGGGCAAAGTCACCGCTTCTGGCTCCATGTAAGAGCCAACAGAGCCTCCCACACCAAGTTTGACATTTTCTACTCAGCGAGACACCTACCATGACCGCCTTTTATGGATCGTATACCATAAGCTCCCAGCAAATCTATCCTCTCAACTCCATAGCAACAACTTTTAAATGCAAACAACCCTAGCTCACAGGGCGGGGGTGGTGGGGAGAAATAATGATGACACTATAGATCTCGTCTTCATCATTACCCTCAATTAATTTTATTGAGTATTCACTGGATACACACGGCAGCATCCAATTATGGAAAGTTAAAAATGAACTACATACAACAGCCTGTGATATAGGATGGTGGCTGTGCATTTTAATTAGTGAAACTGAGCCAAAGAATGAAGTACAAAGCAGTGCAAATTGTTCGATTGAAAACAGATTCACCTTTAAAATGCTCAAAAGAACACTGCTTATGGAATTAGCCAAAAGGCGGTTCTCCCACCCTGTGGAATTCTCAGTTTTAGTAATATACAAGTGATAAGCTGACACATGTATCCACTTACTATCTCTTTGATCCTCCCAACTGCCCACTTTACAGATTGAGCACTAAAGGCTCCAAAGGGCGAAGCAACCTGTCCAAATCAGCCAGTCACTAAATCGGATGGCCAGGATCTAAAGGCAGGCTGTCTGCATTCAACACCTACACCTCCCACCCCACCCCCCAATCCCGAAACCCCCAGCTCTACACCACCAGCTCCACAGTTGTCTTTGGTAGCGAATTCAGGAGACAAGATGAGCCTGGATGAAAAGTTGGTTTCACGCTGAACACTGATCAGTTAATATATTTCAGAGAAGTGAAAGTGTGTGAGCATGCATGCACGCGTTTAATTTTAATCTGTAAATCTGAGACCCTCAAACAATTTCAATTTTACAGAATGACTGTAGGCCATGAAAAAAAAAAAGGAACTTTTTGTATCTTAACTATTTGAAAATTGTCAACATTGCACACTATCTTCCCAGAAACAAAAAGGCCATTCTCATACATAACCACAATTAATCCACAAAATCACGAAATTAACACTGGATACATAACCACTTAAACCTCAGATCCCATCAAGTTCTGTCAAGCGTGTCTACAAGGTCCTTGACAAAAGTGTGATCCAGTTCAGAATCACCTGTTACCTACTGCCATCAGGACTCCTAGTCTCTGCCAGCCTGGAACAATCCTTAGTCTTCCTGACAGTCAGACCAGTCACTCTGTAGACTCTCAATTGTCTGATGTTTTCTATTGATTCCAGTTTTAGCTCATCCCCTTACTGATGCAGCACTCTTTGATCATTTGATTAATGCATCTGATGTCTCCGCTGTGAAATCGCCCATTTTCCCTTTGTGTTTGCTAAGCATTTTGTGCAGTGATAGTTTATGTAAACATACCTTTCCTCAACAAATTTTAATTGATTTATTTATGTAGGTTTATTAGGGACACATGGTTTCCTCTTTTATTCCATGGATCACAATCCTTTGCTATCGTTATTTGATGCACAGATTGTACCATATATGAGCAATGGGAGCCCTGCCACTTCTAGACCATTTTGTGTCTTCCTGGCATGTGCCCAGTATTTTGAGTACTTCCTTAACTTTATGGCACAAGAAGAAAGTCCAGGGTGAATTTATGCTTTCCTTGTGCTGGCCTGGATGTAGATATTTCTTCAGGGAGTCCTGATGCTGTTTAGTGGGAAATGGTAATTAGAAACCAGGATCTGGGCAGTAGGTGTGCTCATTGCAGCGTGGGTATTGCTAAGTGCAGGACCTTTCACAGGAAACAGCCAGGGAATATAATCTGCACACACAGATCCGCAACACACACTTACATTTCTCTTTTTATACCTGCCACATATATTAAAAGTCACATATTCACACCACTTAACTCCATTCTAGCCCACTATAAGAATCATTCTCATCTCCTCACTCTATATACTTGTAACTATATTCTACAAAAGTGAAGAATCCTACCCCTATTTCCTAATAATTACTTATTTGTATGTAACCAAAACTTGATTACTGCCCCTTCTTCCCCCCAACACTAGGCACCACTGTCTACCCTTTGATCCCCAGATCTCTTGTGCCCCTACAAACACTCCATCTGCACCCTGTGCTCCAACACCACTGGGCTAGGGCATGTGGGCCCCACTAGAGTCCAGATCTGGTACCAAGATGCTGCTACCTTTATCCCATGTGAACAATCCCCTCACCCCATAGACACACTCAGCCAGGCTGCTTTGGCTCAAAGATCCTCCTCACCTCCTGCCACCCCTTCCATGGGAGGTCTTGTTGCCCCAGTCTGGGTCTGATCACCACGTCAGGTCAAGTCTGTTTGGGTCTTGACCCATACTTTGCAAACAACTGAGCCGGACGTAGGCGGATAGCCTAGCATCTTTGCACAATTTCTTTAACCGAAATACATTTGGTAAAAAGAGTTGTGGGTATAGAGAAAACCGATGCCACTGAAGCACATCACTGATCTCAGGCTCCAACATTCCAAGAGGCAGTACATTAAGGGCCACGGCCAGGCTTGGTGCACCAGCGTGACAGGGTGACGTTCTGTCTCTGCAGCATGCAGGCTGCACCCACACAGCCTGTCCCACTACACAAGGCGTGTTTTTAAAAGTCTACTATGTTTGTTATTTTTAACTAACTGGAGCATCAATGTGGGGGGGAAAAAAGTAAGTCAAGCTCTAATGCTAAAACTGTCAAAAGCCCACATGTTACTACAACTTACATTCTGGAGAGCTCACGCAGGGTTCAGTGAAAACCTGAATGTTTCACTAAGGTGAACTGTGAATCAGAAATCAATGAAGAGACCCAAGGTGAACGCCTGACTTGTTTCTCAAAGAGAAAATCACTTTTTTAATGACAGAATTTCTCTGGTCCCCAAACTTCCTTTCAGAGGAGTGTAGTGATCATGGGAATCTTTTCTTTCAGTCACTCCTTCAGATCACTGTGGCCTCTGAAATACACTTACTGGTGAGTAAATTTAACTTGAAGGAAAGATTTATCTATTACACACAATTTCTGCCTTCCCTCCAAAACAGCATTTTCCAAAGCATGTTTCAGGAAACATACTAATGCCAGGTGTCAGTATTTGTCATGGAGTAAAAAAGTTTTGGAGGGCCACCTTCCTACCTACTAGAGGGGAAGCTACCCAACTCATGAACTGTTTGGTGAAGTCAATTAGGCCCTTTAAAAAAGAAAAAGTGTTGCGGTAACGTGCGAGGGGAAGCCCTGAGCATGGGTGTCTCTGCCACAGGACTCCTCAGAGCCCAGGGAGGAACCTTAAGGAGACCAACACAACGCAGTTTCCTGTCCCAGCCACATTATGTAGGTTTGGCCCCTTTTTGTGAAACACTTCTAGGAGCTAATGCTCTGTATAAAAACAAGGGGGAAATGTCTTTAACGTTTATGAATAATGGATCGCTTTCAATAAAATAAGTCATTACAAAAAGGAAAATATGAGAAGTTACATCTAAGGACAAATACCACACTCATCAAAGAAATGCAGCTAAAGCGGGGAGACTCTCACTGATCAAATAAGCATTGAACTCAACTAGCGCTACCAGGAGAAGGTGGTGAGTGAGGCGCTCTGCGGCCCTGCTAGTAAGGGGCAGCCTTTTAAAAGTACTAAAACAAAGCAAACAAAAATAATAGAAAAAATAAAAGAAATCAGGACCGTGTTTTTGGAAAGCAGTTGGGCAAAAGTCTTAAGATGTTGCTGCTCAACAATAGCCCGTATGTGATTTTCCTTTCAAGGAGATAATTCAAAATAGAGAAAATGCTTAACTGCACCAAAAATGCTAGACAATAGCTAAAATAGTGAAAAGAACCCCAAATAACAAAAATTCCCAACAGCAAAAGTTGCAGTGAGCATGATACCAGGCATCGTGCTATCCAGCACAAGAAGTATTCACAAGGTTTTGCTGGTGTGAGCGAGGGGGCTGCCGACATCAGGACACCTGACACATGGGTTGCAGGAGCCTGACTCAGCCCCAGCTTCTCCCCCAACACCCCCTGGAGACATTTCAGCACACCCCTTCTCCTGAAAGGACGGGGATGTTCAGCTGAACTGTTCATTTTCAGACCCTTAAGAAATGACTGTAAAAGCACAACAAAGCCTTCCTGAAACGGGAACTCGGGACAGCTGGCTGGGTCCCTTGCCAGTGTAGTGTTTGACTCGCAAATCCCAGCTGTACTGCATGACACAAGAAGTACAGATTTGTGCCTCAGCAAAATAACTTAATACATGTCATGAACTTTCTATGGCTGCTGGAGAATATTAGCTATTGTGAACATTAGCTAAGTGAATGCCATGGGACAACTGATTATTTAACTAAAAAATCAAAGGAGGAGTACATCCCCAAATGCCATTAATACTTACCTTAGTGAAGGGGCAGGGGGTCCACTTAGGAGTGTTTTTCTCTTCCTTCCTATGAATATCTTAATTTTCCAAACTTTCTAGAATGGGTGTGCATTACTTTTTTGGTAAACATTTTGATGAAATAGAAGGTATGCATTTCTTTTTATAATCACAAGCAAAAGTTAAAATTTACTCATTAAAAAGAATAAAATAAAAGGCCAATACCTGTCCTTTTGTCGTGTAATCTGCCAAGATGTTAAGGAGTTTATAAAATACTTCAAACCAGGGAAGGTAACTGAGGAAAGAAGAGGAAACATAAAATATTAGTATGCAGGTCAAAAACTTTTACTAGGAGTTAAATTGACACTGGTATATTACAGTCTTCCTCTACATCCTGAACAGTTCTTCCTCTCACAGTCTGTGCTGGAAACATAGACTGGTAAAATGCTAATTATTTCTGGGATTTTAAGAAATTGCCTGTGAAGACAGAAAATTGAATGTCCATTATAAATTATTCCCGTGCCTCAGAGCTAGAACAGGTTCATAGAGAAGAATTTCAAAGCTGACTCTGCAATCAGGAACCATCTCTGAATAACAGCCCGCAGGCCTCTCCCACCACACCACCCTTTCCAGGAAAGCTTCTATTCAAGTTTCTCATGCTTGCACACATACGAACATACACACATGCACAAGCACGTGCACACACACCACTTCCACTGTGCTGTCTGCAAGGCATCCCAAAGGCCCCCATGAGCTCAAATCCACTCAGATCATGACATCAAATATTCCCCCTACAGTGCAGTCGCTGCATGTATGTACTGTGTCCCCTCAGCCCCATTACCCTCCACCTATCCTGAGCATTGTGACCCTAAGGCCAGCATCTCTTACAGTGCTCTTGCTAACCGCATACTGGATTACATTCCTGCAATGGTGCCCCACCACTGGAGTTCTTGGTACAGCATTCGAGGCTCTTTACCATCAGGCCCTAGACTCCTTCTCTGCTGCCTTCTCTCTACTTCCCCACACACAGTCTCTGATCATCGCCGAACCTCCCCGAGAATGCTCAAGCACCCCCAAGCCTACCTGAACTTGCACACACACCTGACCCTTTTCTCCCTCTGAACTCCTTGGTCCAGTCTAGCTGATTTCTCTTTTGAGTTTCCCGTCCTTGCTGCCCAGCCCCCAGCCCTCTCTTTTCTGTGCTGCTCACTGGTTCGCATGTTTATTATAATGTGCCCCCCACACACGAGCTGTGTTCAATGGGGGTCTGTCTTCCCAACAGACTAGACTATGTGCACATGGGAAAAGTACCACATCCTTCTTCAGTGTCCTCCCAGGGCTGAGGGTCAAGGGCAGAGCACTGAGTGGGGGCACTCCATCAGCGCGCAGTGTATTTTTTTAAGATTTATTGTATTTATATCTGCCAGAGGGGAGGGATGTGAGAGGATTCCCAAGACACACAGAGAGAAGGGAACAGAAAAGGCAGATTGACCAAAATACACTGCTGAGGGGAGTAGCAGGCAAGACAGGAGAAGTCTGCTGCCTCATGTGGGTCAGCTCCCAGACCAGGGATCAAACTCAGGCCACAATGGCTTGGCAATGTGAAGATTCCCTGTGCCACCGGGGAGGCCCCACAGCACTCCATGTTGACGGAATACATGAAACCAAACACCCTCACAGCAAAAGCACAGGGTTAGAGAATTGACGGAACAGCTCTTCACTCCCAAGAAGCCTGTCATCATCTCAATTGGCCAGGCTCTCCAGAAGAAACTTTTCCAAAGAGACATCCAATGGCCAGGAGTAGGGTGGCGTACCAAGCGCTGGCCGTCCCCACCATGCCGCCCGGCTGTGCTGACAGCGTCCGCCCCTGATGGATCTGGACTCCGAGAGGAGGCCGATGCCAGACCTCTCCATCCTGCAGGCAGGGGGGACCAGCGCCCCACACAGATTACCAGCTGTTCCTCGGAGGGTAATAAATGAAGTGAGAAGCAATGGAGGGGACACTGATGGCTGTCTGAAGCCCCCAAGGCTACTGTAAAATTTAAGTAGCTTATCAAAATATACTGATAAGCAACTTAACTTTTCACTTCTATGACAGCATTATCACTTATGTTAATATGTTCCCATCAGCTCTGGCAGCTGCATGTTGACTATTAGAGAGCAAATGCCAGCCGCCACTTTACACGGCATTTACTTTGGCAGAGCTGTGTAAACATTCAAGAGGGATTAGGGGGGAGATACGTTTCTCCCTTCCTATTCTGTTAAATAAACCTCAGCCAAGTTAAAAGCCATTATGGTAGGAACAATAAATCCCCTCAGAGGAAAACTCTTGCGCAGATTAGAGGACACTTAGTAAACAAATTCAACCAAGAATTACACTTCTTTTTTTTTCTTGAAAATAAAAAAATACCACCAGTTAGATCAAGCCCTGAAAGTCAGCAAGGGGGAGGAAAAATCAAAAAGAAAAAAGATTTCCTGGCAAGAAAATGGAGGCCTCGAGTAAATGAGAGAAGTTGAACTCATTGGAGGGCTACTTGACTGAATGCTGGGTAGGCTGGCTCTGGGCGTCACCCAGGTACTGGACTATCTGGAAGTAGCTTTGGCCGAGGTGGCGTGATGACCAGGAGAGCTCGGGTGCAGCACCTCAAGTTTCATGACCCCTGTTGTTAGGATGAAACAAGGTGGTGTGCTGGGGCCGCCTGGCCTGCAGTGCTCTGGCCTCCAGTGCCAGGTTCTCCCAGCAGCCTCAGCCTCACCAAATTGATTCTTTTTGGCTACGGTCTGCAGAGCCCTCGGCCACAGGAGGCCCTGCAGTTACCCTGGAAATCAGCCATCTCTCTCCCCCTCGGCCTGACCGGACACAACTGTTGCCCACATGTGGCCCCCTGTGCACTGACAGATGGCTATCTAGTGATGGCAGTGTTAAGGTCTTGAAACCAAAACCCAGCTGTCCCAGTCTTCAAAGGAACCCCTTCCCTGTTGGGAGGCCAGGGTTCACAGCTGAACTTTGTCCAGTGGCGCTTCCTGTGCTGCTTCATTAGCGCTGGCACCGCCGTTCGCAGGCCCGAGGCTGCAGGTGAGGATCTGGAGACCCTCCGCTCCATTTTGGGCTTGTCTGTCATCAAGGAGTAAACACCACTTCCCAGCCCAGAGACAGGAAACAAACTGGCCATTACCACACTCCCCCCAACCCCCCAGGACTCTAAAGGGGCTGCTGCCCTGGGGCTGGCCCCAGTGCTCCCTCCCTGAGAAACCTAAGTCCTGGCTGCGGGAGGGAGTCGCTATGGGGCGGGCCCAGGCCAAGGCTGAGCTGAAAAGCTGGTAACAAAGGGTCCCACATCACAGTCCTAGTGGCAAGAAGAGTCAAACATAAGGAGTAACAGTTAGGGTGGGGGGAGCTGGATATCTTTCCCAAGTGCTTAACTTAGCTTAGGTTTTGGGATTGATTTATAAAAGGATAAAGGAGCATTATCAAGACTCCAGCCACATGGTCTTGATGGGAAAAACCAATCGGAAAAGCCTGCTTCCTGGGCACGGCCTGGGCTCATGCATCGCTCACCATGCTGTGGCTCAGATCACTGTCCTGGGCTCTGCTCTCACCTGCCTGGCCCAACAGTTACTGGAGGCTTTTGCTTCATTGCCGGCAATGGGAAAGCTTCAACCTGAGAAGAGCTCCAGCAGTGCTCAGGTCTCCCCCCACCTCCCATTGGCTCTCAGCAGCTGTCACAGGCCCTGGTGAGATACACATGGCATGTTTCAGAAGGAGCACAGAGAGGCAATTGGCCCATGGACAAAATCACCTGGAGAAGCCTTCATGTTGCCCCCAAAATACACAGGCGTGGTATGTGTAGACACAAAATACCTGGCCTAAGTTTGGGGGACACAGAGAGTAAAAAAATCTTCATTCAAAGCTGTCAGCTTGGAGAGCGGCCCACTCTTGGCTGGAAGTCAGGCACTGAGTCCCTCTGAGGACTCAGATGTCCTCACCTTGCTCCACTGAGTGGACCATAAGGATAATATTCCCACTGTGGGAGTGGGTGTGCATGCACTGTAACTGACCTAGAATCCTCTCCCTGCCGTGTGTGTGCACATGCACCTACATATGACTGGCCTTGCGGAAATATCCTATCTCTTCAGTGTCACAAGTATTCAAAGAGAAAAGCATTACAGAGCTGGTGGTAGCTGGCTGCACTGAGGAAGGCTCCACCTAGCACAGAGTGTTGGAGCCCCTTAGTGCCGAGGGTGATCTGGCTACAGGGAAGTGAGAGCAAGGGGAGGCAGGTGTCCACATGGGCGGTGGCCTGGCTCAGAGTATAAGGACTCAAAGGGTAAAGAGGGGAATAAGTCAGGGTAAGACCTGGCCTGGGATAGAGAATGCATCTCTGCAGCAAGAGGTTGGCTAGGCTGGTGTTGGAATCCAAGAGGAGCCTCTGGAAGGACCGCAAGTGAGATGTCAGAGCCTAGAGAGCAAGAGGGTTTCCGTGCAGTGGCAAGGCAGAGTCCAAATAGCTGAAAAAGATGTCAGGGTGAGCAGGAAACAGCGGCAGCTGCCATGGTGTTAGTGCTAAGGTGTTGGCGTCCAGATGGGGCAAGGAAGTCAGCCACGAGGAAGTGGCTACAGAAGAGGGAGACTGGGGACAGATCATCACAAATGACCAACCAAATAAATAAATGGGAACCAAGTTTACGACTACCCAGAAAGAGAGTTACCAATATGTATGCCCAGGGTGGTGGGGGAACGAATGACTTGGTGTCAATTGCAATTGGATTTAACTGCTTAAAATTAGCATGACTGACAGATACAGATGGGTGGATAGAGGCATACTCGTGTATGTGTGTATAACGTGGGATACATAATATGTATATTTTCTAGCTCTAGCCACTGAAAGCAGAGAGCCTCTAGCCACTGAAAGCAGAGAGCCCAATATAATGAGATGCTTAAAACTCAGGTCTTGTTTGCTAAGTACTATATTCTACTAAAAAGGACCAGAAGAAATGTCTGATTCCAAGGTGAAGTGGGAAATACCTCACTGCTAGGAACAAGGCAGTACTTACTATAGGAACAGGAGAGGTCAACAGGAAGTAAGAGCCAGCAAGAAAGAGCTGTCACTGACAAGATCCATGACAACTTGAACATCAAAACAAACAATGACAGAAAGAGATGCTATTATAATAAAGTAGGAAATCAGAGTCTGCTGATACAAGTACATGAGTTACAATCTGATGAGGATGGATTACTTATTTAGTCTTTAAGAGAATGTACGTTAGCTCTTCACAGTATACTTAATCATTACA